TCTAAGCATCATCCGTTCGGTTAAGTTTTTTTGAATTCTTTTCGTTTTTTCAGCATTTTTATGATTTAGATATGTTATGGTGAAGCAAGCTTATTACGAAATACGCCTTCATACGCAAATAAATGAATGCTTAGCTATAGTTATGCCAAAAAGTTTTTCGAAAAGTTAACGAACGAGATGAATATTCATGACTATAAGCAAGGGGGGCAAACTCATCAAAATGCGTTTCGACAATTCCGTAAATTGTATTATCATTGCGCAGGTATTTCTATACATATATATTATAACATGGTAAACGCAAGTCTTTTTTTGCCAGCTTTTGACTCTGCAATACTTGCAAATAACGTATAGTCCGTCTCTAATAATTTGGGATCTATTGTAATCTATATTGCACTAACAAGGCCGGCCCTCTTCTCTTTGTACATAATTATGTTCGAATTAATAAATATATAAAAATCGTATAGCCGGCAATAATAGACTCTTTAATACATGGAGTGTGTAAATTGGGAGATACGATCTCAGCGATCATAATAGACTTGTCAAATGTTTATGGTATAAGAACGAAGATGAGGGTGCATATTAGCAGTCCAGTTAGATACATTTTTATGAAAATGACATGTCTGATAAGATAATTTTATATAAAAAGCAACTACTTATCGAATCAATCAACCTGATGAAATAAAAGCGCCTTAGTTAGAGGATTCGAATTAGTAAAAAATTCATCGGGGAAGAGGATTAACAAAGACATCATCGCGAAACCTAATATTCTCTGATCTATTTAGAGTGACGTATAGATCCCGCCACTATTGACGTGAGCGTGTTTGCTTTTCAAATAAACTCAAGCAGATACAAGTGATCAAATAATGCTCGGAATGTAACGAATTTTGGACACATTTCGTTGTTACAAAGTCCGGTAAACCATACCTTATAAGTTCTATATATTATAGCTACATAGACTACGCCTTTAATGCTTTAATGCCTATAATATTGTTTAGTGTCTACTTGCATTTCCGACTGATATTCTTTGATATACAGTTAAAGCTGTTTATTCGCGCTTCCTTTTTTCGCGTTTTCGCTATTCGTGGATTAAAACAAATTAAAAAAATTCCTATATTCGCGGATCTAATAAGTGCATTCATAATAATAAAAGGATTCCAATAGGTATCCAATTACCATTCCGTATTCCCGGTTTCTGTATTCGCGGCACATATACCCCGCGAATAAAGAACTTTCACTTTATAATGTCATAGTTTTAACACTTAGACTTAGCCTCAAAATATTCTAAGCACAATTTGTCTACTTTAAAAAACTGAATTCTATTAACGTTACTTTGCTTTGATGATCTTCTCTATAATAGAGTAATTTCAGTTCATTTAGCCTTAACAGTGTTAGTTAATATGGCTGAATGTAGACTTGAAGCTAGAGATGAATAAATTAGTGAGTAACTAAATGATAGATATCCTTCAGTTGTATGTCATCTTACGTCCTTGTTGAGCAATGGGTCGCGCACACATTTTAAATCAACCTGAATAGTGTAATGAATTTACAGTACTCTTGTCTTACAATTTGTATGTGTGTCTATTATAATTGCTACGACTCTTCTGCCTCAAATTGGTTTCTATTCTCCTGCAAAATCAAGTTTAAAATTTTTTACTTTACAACTTGAAGTTTTTTTTTGTTTAAATGAATTTGCTATTTTCTTAATTGACATTTTTATGTCAATTTACAATAGCGATTTAAGAACAACATACCTCCACAAATTGCAGTATGCGCAATTATTGCATATATACTTGCTCTATACAAGAATCGATGAAATGTTCACAAATTCCATAAAAATATTCTGTCAAATATCGCATTTTTTTTTGTCGTATATTAAGAAGCCTTCATTCTATCGGGTATTCTGTCAATTTGCTAATGGCTACTCAAAAACCTTTTTATTCCGGTTAGACAATCTGCGTTACTTTCCTTGCGTCATTAGAAATTTTTACTACATACTGTACTACAGAGCTAGATTTACTTCGTGATTTTAATTGTGTCGTCTTACAGAGGCTGAAAGAAATAACTTGTGTTTGGAGAAGAAATCGTTCAGAGCCTTTCTTTTTTTTTTTTAAGAAAGGAAAGTGTTTTATTCAGAAGCGCACGCTTTGTTAATTTTCGTTAAGAAGAAAGCTCCATGGGAACGTAACTTAAACTTTAAATAAAAGAAAATCACCCAGCCGTTCAGTCGGTCTAACCTGCATAGATGCACGGAATCAATCATCAGAGCAATTTGGAAAAATTTTGTTTGCGAACGATACAGAAAAGACAAGTAAAAAAATGATATTCGGTTGTAACGGAATTTTTTATACCCACCAGCGTTGTTCTATTTTTGTAGAATAGTTTTTGCAGCTTATGAGTAACGAGGGAGAGAGAGGGAATGCAAATAGGTTCACTGTTTTTGTTGTATAGGCGTATGGGCGTTGTAGGCGCTTTTTTTGAAAAGTTTGGGTCATTTTCAAGTTCTTTTACAAATTTTCAGGCGATATTTTCGATTTCGCGAAAGCGAGAATGTTTACCATAGATACTCTACATTTGGTCAGACGTACAGATAGACAGGCAACCAGACGGCGCATTCCAAATTTAAAACTGGCGCATTCCAATAAAAACTGAATTTATATACTTTATGGAGCTTTTCAAGCTCCAACAGTAAAAAAGAGTTTTGAGTAGGCGTGACCGATTTTTCCATTTTTTTACGCTCGTAGGATATACGTTGAGCATTTTTACTGATTTATCTGTTGTGGTTTTGGATGTAATGAGCAAAAAACAAATTTTTTTATTCCTTTTGAAAGACAGAGGTGTTCTCAGTTTAGTGGTATTGTAGACGTGTTCTGCCACCGATTTGGGCCATTCTCAATACGAACCTCCATGCAAGAGCTTCCAATTTTTCTACTAAATTTGAACTTGACAGCGTAATTTGTGCGGCCGAGAGAATTTTTACAGCCGACATTATATACATGGACAGACGGACAGACGTACATGCAGTATATACATTTTGTGGGGTATATGAAACTTCCTTCTGGGCATTACAAACGTTCTGACAAGATGACTAAACCCCTTATCCTTCGGTGAGCGGTGTAAACCTTAGTTTCTGAAGCTGTTTAAGAAAGAGACTCAGAAAACGTGAACATTTTATATGTAATAAATTCCCTATCGCTTTTTAAATGTAAATATATTTATAATTTTTCGCACATATTTATATTTTATATTTACTATTAATAAAATTAGTGCATCTGTGATATTTCACTTACTAATAATCGGTGGGAAACAATGCAGATCAATAAGTATTTTCTAAAATCCATTGAACGACTGGTCACGCCAATAAAAATCAAAAAGTGGTTTTTGCTTTCGTTTCAGGGAACATTTTACGCTTACCTATTACTAGAACCCTTACAGTAACCAAATTACATCGTCTTCGAGCTATTAACTTATAGTAGAAAATCCTTTTAATATAAAAAGTCAAACCTTTTAATATAAAAGTCATTTATCCGTGTTTTATTAGGTCTTAGTTCGCAGCATTCTCTAGTTGAGAAAATTTCCAACAAAAATGTTGTAAAAGATTTCTATTTCATTTCTAAACAACTGTGAAGAAAGAAAAATAAGAAAATGTTAAGCAGATAAGAAAACTGTATTTGCTTTTGGCCCAATCTTTTATATCCACCACTTTCTGCCTAAAAAAAAAAAGAAAAGAAAGCAAAAGCGAAAGGAAAATTTTGACAGTTTTATAATATGAGTTGAGCGTTGCTTGTTTTTTTTTTGTACTGGCCCTATAGGATCAACAATTGAATATAGCGGTTATAGTTTATGAGCAATGAGAAATAAAGCGGCCGTGTTCTGAGTTTATCTTGTACCGTAAGTCCGTATCTTTTAACCGGTTAGACTCGGGTTCAATATCCAACTACATGCAATAATTTCCAATGGTTTTGTCAAATCTTTAGCCGATATCTTCTGTTTTGCAACCGAACGAGAATATTTAACATAGGCATTACATATAAGGACAGACGGACATGCTTAACATGCAGTCCTCGAAACAAGTATGCAAAGAGATCCACACTACTAGTAAAGATTAAGAGTGTAAGTGTCTCCTTTTCATATCGCTAAGATATCGCAAAAGATTCATCCACAGACAAGCGCGAAGATGTTGAAGGTAATGAGTTTTTTTTTAAGATACGAACTTAAAGTAAAAATTTTTTTTGAACCAATCTCGCCAAATAGTACAATGTGTCTATTAAGTGTCGTTTAAACAAGAAAATGTAAGCATATTAACTGCTGACGGGGATTGGGGAACAGAAGCAAAAGCAAAGCTTGAGTAAGAACCAATACTAAGCCAATGATTGATTTTGCTATTAAGTAATCGTGTAATGCAATATACTCGACATGTTTACAACCCTTTCTATGGCGAAGAACATCTCTCTCCTTCTCCTTCACCTTCTCCCTCATCCATCTTACTCTGATTCTCTCACTCTCTCGATGCCTCTTTTTCGTTTCTTCTTGTCTCTTATTTGAATGCCGAATGAAACCGGGTAACTCTGGAAAAAAGAAATGCAATGAATATGCAAAGCAAAAGCTAAACTATTACACAAACACAGAGAAAAAAATCTTTTCGTTATGAAAGCAGGTAAGTGCATACGACAAGTTCAGTAGTAAACGTGTAGAACTGAGAGTTTTTACGAAAGAGAATAAAGATACAGATCACCCGCGTATGTGTGACTTATGGTGGAGGTGACCACGTAATAGCTGTGGCGCGTTAGCTATAACAAGCGTATGGGGCTCGCTTATAATTACTTACTATTTAGAAATCATTATAAGCGCTGAGTAAACTTTCTCACCATCCCTAACTTTTCTAAGTTTTCAGTGAGCACAAAGTGAAAAGTCAGCAAAGCTTAGAATAGAAAATATTGTCCGTTTAGCTTAATTGTTAAGTTTAGTATGATTTGGCAATTTAGCGCGACCGTCTGAAATCCGTGAACCATTTCCGAAATGTGACAAAACTTTTTTTTTTTTAAATTTTTTGTTTCAGTTTTCTTCCTGACTATTTTCTTCACTGTTGCTAGCTAACGTCATATACCAGAAGTTTTCTTAACTTGCAATACTCGGTCGTACGTATATTTGATCGCACCCTACGTATTATAGCAGAAGGTGAAACGTCATTTATTACAAAATCCTATTAATAAAAAACCAAAAAACAAAATATAATAATAATAATAAATATATATATATATATATATACATATATATATATATATACCATTACATATATATATATAACATTACCCTGACAGCAACTCATATTACAACGCCTTTTATGTGTGTTTAAATAATGTAACAGAAAAAAAGTTTTTATGAATTTTTTTGTTTTTTAGCATTTATACAAAAAAAAAAAACGATAACAACAAAAAGCTTAATTTTCAAATTCGCTTGAAAGTGCAATAATCTCATTATCAATAGAACACAGAAGTAATTGCAAAAGAAAAAAAAAAAAGAAACAAAATAAATAAATAAAAATAAAAAGAGAAAAACAATAAAGTGTAAAAATATCGTAAAAATGATTAAAAATGGAAATAATTTAAATAAATTTTAATAGTTGTGGAAACAGTTGTTAATCAACTTTAATTTAGAGCGCGCCGCACTACACAATGAATTTAGCCATAAAAGGGGAAAACTATTGTAATAAAATAAAAAAAAAAAAAGGAAAAGGCAATAATAATGATTAATCAAAATGTATAAAAATATCCATAGAAATGAATATTAAAACTAATTAAGGGGAAAAACGAAAAAGATTTTACTTTTCTGCTATCATTCATCAAACGAATTTAAATATATGTTCATTCTTTTTTGTTTTAATGTTAAATATTTCACGTTCTGTATGAAAAATAAACTTTTTCATATTAAAGGATTATTGTTGCATTTAACTGCTTTCGATAATCATATATTAAATAACGGTTGCTTTTGTAACCAATTAATCGTTTAACTGACTTTTATAAAACGCTTTATATAAACGAAATCCTTTATAAAAGACTGAAGCACGGTATACATGCACGCACAACAATCGAACAATCTGCGGTAATGTGTTATAGCATCATCCACTCCGTGTATACTTATTGTTGTAAGTTGTTGTTTTTGTTATTATTGTTGTTGCTTATAAGCATAACCGTTTTAGTGTTACGAGTGAGCGCCTTATCATCTCGACTATTTGCCTGCTCTTTTATAGCAAATTTTTCATGTCAATTGCGGGCTGAACATGTAAATTTAAGATAGACTAATCCGTTCTGCGATCAACTACAAATAGTTCAACATGCATTTATAATTTAAAGTATCTTAACACATTCGCGAGCCGCTACCGCATATGCAGTGATAACGCACCAGTCTAAAGCGAACTTAAATTCGGGATGCGTAATCTGCGTTTACCGCGCACCGGAGGATGCGGCTGCTGTCGTTCTATTGTCATTATTCACTGTATCCCTGAATCACTGCACATAATGAATTTCGAACTGACGCGAACGAGTTAAATAACAAATATATATACATTTTTAAATGATTTATCTTTTCCTTTGTTCTCTAAATACAAATGAAAGTTGACTGGACAATAAGACAATAAGACAATTTTAGACTTTGGCTTCTTGAATTCTATTTTGTAGCAACCGTTCGGTTAAATTGAAAAATTAGCTAAATAACTTAAAAGTTGCGCATGTAATGAGCGACACGTTCAAAAATTACTTTGAACGCGATGTCCAAGCCTTAATGATAGGATCAAATTTGACGCGAAAATGTCCTTATTAATCTCCATAAGTTAGATATCAAAGCCATCTTAAGAGTCTGCCCACGATTATATAGGATTAATATATATATGATAAATAAAGTAGCGATTAAAAGACGTCAGCAGATATAAAGTATAAGCATGTTATCTCAAATATCGTATATTAATTGCATTTAGACGGTCTCTTTAGTAATGTACGATCTTTGGTTTTGCCTTCTAAGCAAACTCGAATATTTGCCTCAGATTCTTTTTGCTCTCAATTTTTATACATCGATATGTACATCGTTTTTTAATAGTTAAAAAGTTGAGTTGAGGTAAGATGTTATGTTTTTGATTACATCCGATTGTGAGACGACGATCTAGCCAGGTTCTCCAGTCTGTTGCTTCCGTATGTGGTTTTGCTACTTGAACCTTCAAGCCTACAAATTCAAAGTTGATACTGTGTGATGCCACAGACAAACTTGACAAAAATGAGAGCGACCTCCCGAAAGTTAAAATAAATAAGCTTTACAGCCTCAAAGCTAACAAAAAAAAAACCATACTTTACAGTTTGTATGCATTAATTCCAGATAGTAAGTATAGAAGAAGCAAGTAGTAACGCGAATAGGCCACAGCTTTCTTTCTAATTTATTGTGAGAAATTCACGCAAATGTAATCGAAATACGGCTACATGCGTATGTGAAGCATCCGTTACGGACTCATAATGAGTAGATGTGATAATGTTTAGCGACCACTATCCCTCTGCTCATGTTGGTGTAAACGTCACTATACCGTAAAGAATAGATCCGAAACTAAGTTGCTGCCATAGATGAAGTTTATGGAGATTTGTCGTTACAGCTTAAGCAATTCGCATAAGTAGTCGAGTAGGTAAGAATGACGATTACGAACTCAGTGCTCGCAGGTTTAAATTTCAAATGCGGCAGTGAACGCATTAGTCTTACCTGTTGGAGGCACACTTCCTACGTCGTTCTCTTTCCTCAATTCTATCTCATCGTAACCGCACTATATAAATAGAAGACATGCCCTGAGTGATTGGCCATATTAAAAGAGAAAAAAAAATTAATATTTTTAGGCCGTTGGTCTTGAAAGTTTAAAGAATTTCACATAAGCGACTATATGGCTGTGAATGTACAAGGGTACATCAAATTTGCGCGGATGTATGCAACAACCCGAATCACTTTCTAATTTGATTTAAGTGTGTCCGTCGTCGTTCCGTTTCGTTTTCTTGTGTTCAACTTACAGACGCCAGCCTTTGAGGTTCTCTAATGAAGTTTGGTACACTGCCAACACACTTTTGGCCCCACGACGAACGCAGTTGAAAATCCAGCATTTTTCAATCACTTTTCGAATAATATATATATATATATATGTTAACCATGAAAGGAATATTTTGTTCACTAACCGTCATAAGTTTAAAAATTAGTCGTTTCGTGTAAATTATTTATGCATTACTTGAACGTAGTTTTCGCCTTTGTAAACGGTCTTAGTCTATTGTTTATACTATGGAAATACAATTAAATATTATTTGAAATTAATGGTTTTTTATTTCTTTTTCTTTAAACATAAAATCTAAATCATGCTACAACAGTAAAAATTCTTTAGTGCTTTAAATTGTTGGAATATAGCTCGTGACATGAATTCAAGGGGAAACGTGTACGTTACTGTTCGTATGATCGATTATATGCATGACTTGATTTTTACAGGATCTATAATGTTACACATCACTCTCATTCAGTATTCCGTTCAGCAAAAAATATGTTATAACATATCTCATTTAAGAAACAAAAATTGTTTGTTTCAATTTTTGAAATCTTATAAATACGGATCAGTTAGTACATGAAATCAGTAAAATAAAAATTGCATATAAAATACAATCGGAACCGCATCTCTAAACTAAGATTCAATGCGATATTAGTAAACATCTGAGTCAACATAAATCGTATTGGTCTCTTTCTCTGACCAAGAATTAAGGGCGTTTTTATAGGATTTCTGAAATAATCTTCTTGATCTTACTTACATATCAACCAGTCCAAGCGATGCTATGGTGGATGGAAAAACATAAAATACTCGGACATACATAAGAGCATACTTTGCTCTTTGGTAAATCTTCGCTTTACTACTACTAATGGGATCACGGATTTTTGTAACAGGATGTTATGACAACCATGGGAATAATTAATGGCTTTGAATAAATATGATTAATTTTTCCAAGCAATCTACATGTGTAAAAAATACATTCGAAAGATAAGACAAAATTTACTTATTGGCGCATGTTGTGTTTATCACAAAATTCATCGAGGATTTGTTGCATATGAAAATGAAATAAGGCTGACAGTTTGATGGGAATCTCGTATGTAGCAGGCAAAGTTATATATAATTTGATTTAATTGATTTATCCAAACAAACTAACATATAAATATAAAACACATACATACACATTGCATACCTTTCAAGAGTACATAGCTAAGATGAAAGGGCAAATGAGTCTTAAAGACTTAACTATAATTTCAGAGTCGAATTATGGTTAAGCAAGGACGCGGGCGATTGGAGCACAAATCCAGTCTTAAATTTAGAGCTTATTCTTACATATATTCGTAAAATATATCCAACAAATATATTATACTAGAGAGAGTTTATGCATAGCCAACAATCACGCCCACTACCTAATTGAAAATCTATATGCTAAACTTCAATACTCTACTTTGAGAATTTCGGTAATTAAAATTGTGAAGAAATTCAAAATCTCGAGTGAACTTTACTTACGTCTGATATATGTCGATTACATTATTAATTAAAAACAAGTAAAAAAATTAAATTCGATCGGGACTGAATCGTTTATACACATCACCGTTTACCCTCAAAAAAAAGAGAAAAGAAGTAAAAGAACAAAATTCTCATGCTTTCTAATAGCGGGTGCAGTTGATTTCTTCTATTTTCAAAAGAAAAGTTTTTGTCGCTGAGGCATGTGGGCGTTGTAGGCGGGACCTTCGAAAAGTTAGGGCTAATTCTAAATTCTTTTGCAAATTTTCTTTAGCAGAAATACTACAGAGAGTGGAACAGACGGACATGTTTAGGTGCATTCAAGGGTTGTAACTGGTCAAGAATTTGTATACTTTATGGGGTTTTTGAAGCTTGTTTCTGCGCGTTATAAAAGTTTTGAAATAACAATCAAATTTTGGTACATTATAATATCGAATAGGCGTAGTCAATTTTTACCGTTTTTGCGCACAAATATAACAGGATTGCCAATAGAATATGCGTTCAAATTTTTGTAGATTTATTTACTACAGTTTATGAGTGATGAGTAAAAAATCAATTTTTCATTCCCTTTGAAAAACAGAGGCGTTCTCCCTCGGAGAATGTTTACAACAGACATTACATACACGGACGGATGTGCAGACGGTCATGCTTAAATTAATTTGATGCTGATCAAGAATATACTTGGTGGGGTCTCTGATGCTTGGGTGAGGGGTCCACCAAGTTTGATGCGCATGCAGTTCTATGTTGAATTTTTTTTTTCATTTTCTAAATGAATCTTTTAACTTTACACATGAGCACACTTGGCGGCGGGAGCTTTTTCGTCAGATTTTAATTTCAATTTCTCAGAGTAAAATAATTACATTAAACTGTGGACAAATCTTTTATAATCTTCATCTTTATATTTCAAAAAAAAAAAAAAAAAACAAAAAAAATACCGAATAAAATGAGACCTCGATATTCTACAAGGTTCAGCTGGCGTTTTAGCCGATATTTCTGCTTTTTGCATCTACTGTAAGAACATCTTTGAAATATTGATTTCAAATTTTTATCTTTATATATATTATAGTTCATAAGTAATAGGCAATAAGACCAATTTTTGATGTTTTGAAACAGATTCTTGCACAATTTTTATTGTAGTGTAGGCGTGTCCTTTGACCGTATCGGATCATTGTCATTACAAGTCTGTTTATCTGAACTGCCGCAATGTTTGTCCTAAATTTCAAACTGTTATTCTAATTTTTACTATCTGGACAATGTGAACCGCACCCGCTCAGACGGACGGACATATATAACTAAATTATGCAAGGCTCCACATCGAATTAGTAGTCATGGTAGTAGCAGTAGTGGGGGCAATGTGAAGCACCTTAACAGCAAAACTCTTCAAACCATCATTTGAAGTAATTATCTTGCGTATAATTGACATAAATGAAAAACCTCTGCATCGGAGAATGCATCGAAAGGATATTGAGAAGAGAAGAATTAATTTCGATTAATTTCGTTCAGTGATTTCGTTGCCGTAAATAACTATCTCCCATAGCTAAAATTGTTTTTAATAAATTTTTATTCTTTATGCACAATATAAGCATAAA